TCTACTCGTTCTTCTTCTGTTCTCGGCTCCAGCTGTGAGGCTGAGATCTATGCCACGACCATGGCTGCCCAGGAGCTTCGCTGGCTCACCTACCTGTTGACTGACCTTGGAGAGCAGCCTCGTTCTCCTCTAGTGCTGTACGTCGACAACAAGGCAACCATAGCCTTGTGTCAGGAGCACAGACTGGAGCACAGGACGAAGCACATTGCTCTGCGTTACTTTCTAGCTCGAGAGCTACAGCAGCGTGGTCAGCTTCTTCTGCGTTACGTGGCCACTGAGGCCAACACTGCTGATGTGTTCACCAAGGCGCTTCCGCCTGTTGACCATCAACGTTTTTGCACTCTCCTAGGCCTTGTGCCGACTGTTCCTCACTTGCTTACTTCTTGACTTTGCCTGTACTGTGTTCATTATATATATACCTGCATGTTTGCCCTTGCTAGGTTGTGATCATTGTACCTCTTGCTCTATTATAAAACTGCATGTGAACTGGTCTTGTGACCGCTTACTTGTGCTCGGAATTTTTGTGGAATCCTCGAGATCCACCCTGAGCTTGTTTGCCTTGTTTTACCTTGACTGGTCTTGTGACCCCTAGGTCTGCCCCACTTTGCCTATGGGGGTGTGTCAAACATTATATGTTTATGTGGTTCTAGGCTGTAGTGGGTTACACCTTAGGGGGTACACCTGGTTAGGGTTTCATATTTGCACTGGTTGTTCCTGCTAGTCACCATCATTCCTGTTTCTCATTTTGACACCGGCTCCGGCTCCGTCCATTTCGGAAGCGTCGTCTTCCCTCCATATCCGTGCACGACGCACACCCCAGTCGTCCAGTCGATTGTCGGATTGAAGCGCTGCAGCCAATCCCTCCCCAGCAGCACATCGCAACCGTCCAACGTCGTTGCCAACATCTTCATGCCAAACCCGAAATTGTCGCCGCACCGTATCCGATTTTTTTGCGCCTCATCTCGGATGGCCAGTGGTGTCCCGTCCACGAGCCGTGCATCGATCTCTGGTAGACACGTGGTCAGCTTCACCCCAGTTTTTTTTGCCGTTGCCAGGTTGACGAGACTGTGGCTCGCCCCACCGTCAACGAATATTTTTATTTTATAACCGTTAACCCTCCCTACCACCAGCACAGGGTAGTCCACGTGCTCACCCACGTTATTCGTCCAAATCTGGTCGATAGCTCTGGTCGGTACCACGACCCGGTGTGGATGGTGATTGTCGGGCGACAGGGTCTCGTCAGTAGGGGGCTCGTCTGCTACTGACTCACATCTTTTCCCGACCCTTCTCCGTCGTTCTTCTTACCCTGCTTAAGCCTCGAGCAGTCTTTTTTCAGGTGGCCCAGCTGGTTGCATATGAAGCACGGCCGAAGGGCTCGGCTTGGTGCATCCACGCCGTTGATCCTGGGCTGTTGAGTCGATCCACGAAATCGAGGGCCCTCCCGGGAGCTCGATCTCGCCCATTGCATCAGCGCATCCGTTTACTCGGCTTCCCGGACGGCGTCGTTGAAGCTGCGTGGCCGGGTTCGTCGGACCTTGTACTGTATCTCATATTTCAGGCCCGCCACGCAGCGATCCAACCGCTCCGCATCACTCATGTCGTCCACCTGGTCCGCCAAGTTGCAGAATGTGCTGGTGTAGTCTTGGACTGAAGTCAGATGCTTCCAGGCACGCGGCTTCATGCGAGCAGAGTCCGAGGCAGATATATGCTCGAACCTGGTTCGCAAGGCGTCGCCCCACTCCCTCCATGTGCGTATCATGGCCGTCCCAAAAATTGATGCTGCTCGATGCGTGACAGGTGTTGAAGTCCCGTCGTTCGCACGTGTTATTCCTGCCGAAGTCCCTTCGTCCTGCAGCGTTCGCCTCCACCACTCCAGCGCAGGTCCTCGCAATAGTGAAACTCCGAAATTAATGCGGGTGGCATCGTTATAAATCATGGCAGCATTGAAAAATACCTCCACGCCGAACAACCATGCAGAAACAGTGACGAACTTGTCACTTGGGTTAAACGGGGGCGGGTTCGTCGGCTTGATTTTAATAGTTGTCAAAGCCGTTGCTGCCACTGGGACTTTTGGCATCACTGTTGGCGTCGCCGTCGTCGTCGCTGCTGCACGTGTTGGGGCTGCATGCGACTGTTGTGGTGACTGCTGCTGTTGCGCCTGCTTCGCCTCGTCCGCATCTATCTCGCCTTCTAGTTCGCTCCAGACCCGCTCATATGGTGCAGTACTGCTACTTGTGTCGTCCACGACAGGCGACTCCTGGCGCCCTTCACCCCGCGCCTGTTGTAGTTCGGCGTTTTCCTTCCGTAGACGCTCCATCTTTGTAGTCATACCCTGCAAGTTGGCCTGCATCGCACAGAACTGTTGCATGAACTCGTTAAACTCGGCCTCCTCCATGTGCCTCAGGCTTCGTCGAACGGGCAGGGGTTGGCTCGCGATTTTTCTGACTTCGGTGAAGGCGTAAATGCTATCGTAGTTGGAGTGGAATAATCGGATCTATTCCACGGGCCGACCGCTTTACAGCCCACCAAGTCTATCGCTCCCCTTCTACAAACTACCCTCGAAACACGAGGGTAACCTAGGAAAGTAGATCTGATACCAAGTGTTATGAGTTGTGAAAGGAAGAGTGCGCAAAACTCAATAATGCGGAAGTGATTACAACGTCTGAGAACACAACGAGGCCTAGGACTAATATAGTGAAGCTAGTTAGGCCGAGGTCGCGGGGTCGCGAGATGGTTGGGTGCAGGTTCGGGGTTGGAAAGCCCGAAGGCGACGTGGTGGTGGTTCGGAAGGCGAGGTCGGCGGACCGAGCCTGGTTTTCCGAAAACCGGGGTTGTACGCGTACAGTGTGACCCAGTAAGGAATCCCGAAAAATTCCTTACAACTGTAATGTGTGTTTCTTATTGGAGAGTCGTTACTTTGTTTGTCGCCTCCGCTCCTTCGTAGTGATCCATTAACAAGAATTCGCGAAGCTAAGTTCTTGGTGAGGTGGATTGTGTCAGCCTGAAAGGCTGAAGTGTGTGTGGGTAATCACGAGTCGAGGCGGGTGGAATGGGAAGAAAGGAAACCCTCGATCCCTCGCCACTTGCTCATATTTGCGGCGGAGAGTTTGGTGTCCATTATGTAGTGGAGCTATTCGTTACTTCTAAAAATATCAGAAGGCTTCTTCACAATTATCCCAAAAGTTTTCTCCAACTGATTGCACCCTGAAAATGAAATGGTGTCGAATATGCACTTGCAAAATTCGCTTTACTCACCACCAAATTCTTTTCCGCAGTGTGCCTAGTTATTTTGAGGGCAAAATATTTGCCTTCACGTGCCCAGATCCTCGTCGAATGTTTTGTTTCCGCGTGGGCAGCCGTGGCTGCTACGTGATCCGACGTGGCGACACGGTAGCGGCATCGCAGCTGCCCCCTCCTCCATCCATCCAACCCTTCGACGCTCCTCCACAATTTTTTGGGCGAGGGAGCTTCCCCTCCAGCCAGTCCAGTGTCGCTGTCCTGTCCCACCCACTCTTCCTCGAGCCGTTGGGGGAAGGAAAGGAACGCAGAGCTGCATCAAGTTTAAGTATTGGACTGCCTTCTCAAAAGAATGAGGGTGTAATGCCATTTCCATTTTCTTCTTACAATGGCAACCCCTTGAAGCCTTCCAGCTAAGGGGCGCAGCAGCAGGAGTACTTCACGGCCTGCATCCCCTTCTCAGCCTGCATCCCCTTCTCAACCTGCATCCCCTTCGTGAAGGCCGAAAATATGTGCAGCACAGCTCCTGTTCTGGTGAATATGCCAGACGTGAAGGCCGACTCTTTGGAACGGAGGAAACCGCGAGCAGCTTCAGCTACATCTCCACAGTTCTCAAACTCTACATATGCATTCCCTAGGCATGTCCGAGCTCCTGTCTTCAACGCATCGGACGCGAGGACGCGAAAGACCCGCAGGTCCGTGCTTATATTCTTTGCTAAATCAAATTCCTTATGCTTGACGTCGGCCTGACTCACGATATTTATCGCTGGCTTGTGCGTTCAGCTGTGGGCCGTTGAAAGCGGATCCTGACGTCGGAAGGGAGCTGTTGGAAATTATACGCAAAGGGGTGAGTGAGCGTCCCATTTTTTTGTGTTCACTTCGGAAGCGTTCGAACATCTTGTTGTCGTAGTGTGTCTAGCAAATGCTAATCAAGTTCCGTGATCGTTCTTCCAGGATTCGTTGTCAGGAGATTTTCCGGTCATGTCTCCGCCTAGCCGGTCTACTAACCCGATTGTCAACGACAAAAACTTCAGGCGGTCTTCTGCATTTTCCAGCCAAATGCCGGCCCTGGATTTTCCTCGATTGGATACCTGTAAAGTGAGTGTTACGGTCGCACCGAAAGCTCGAATCGAGGGCTTCTTCTCTCCGCTCAAGGTGGCGGAGAATCATTGCAGCCTCCTCACGAGGCTCGCCTAGCTCTTGCTTACACACGAGAGGAACAAGCAATCCATCTTGGGGTGTGAGATCCCTCGTGAAGCTCTGAGCTGGGCCTTGTAAATGAAGGCTCTTGCTGAGAGAGAATTGTACAAATATTAATGTGTCAGCGATTGTTCTTCCGATGCGGTGTAGTAAGTTTCCTGATAAGCTATTTTTGTCAGGACACAGTGGAATAATATATGGATGTTGATCTGTTCATTCTGGCCCCTGATGTTCATGGATTGTAATAGCTGGTTATCTTTAAAACAATTGTAGTTATATAAATTCCGAGGAAAGTTGCTGTATGCTACTAATGTACCATCTACAGCTCTGAAATGCCGTTTAATCAGGGCATGTTCCTACGGCCCCTTATCAGGCCAACCTCTTATCAAGCTCGCGTCAAAACACACTGAAAATTCCCTAAACCCGAAAACCTTCGCTAGTTTTACCAGGCAAGGTTGACAAGGGGTTTGCCTGATAAGAGCGTAGGAACACGCCCTCAGTCTTGTACTGCAAACTCTCATGTTAATCATAAGAGAGAAACATAATTCACAATTACAGGTGTATCAGGAGGAAGCATCTTGTTGACCTAGGGGACCACGGGCAAGAATGAGGTGTGTGGTGTCATTCATCTTGACCAGATGCCACCCTTTCCGAGCAGTGTGACGGAGAAGAGAGATTGAAGTGTTGTCAATGCCAATATTGTGGGTGAGATGAGGGTCCGAACCCAAAACGCCACGCACAAGGCACCGTATTGCAGTGCCGTGGGAGAAAACCGCCACACGGAAAACATCATCAGCTGCTGCCCCACCTCCTTGTGCATTAACTGCACTGCCAGTGCTGCTGGAAAGATTGCTGCTGCTGCTGTTAGCAGATGCTGGAGTGCTGCTGTTACCATTAGCAGGCGTGGTGGGCAGATTTGAGGGTGGGGCCGACGCAGGGTGGTGTGTGGTGGAAGGGGGTGCAGATGGAGTGGAAGCAAGCGCTTCCAGATGCTGTCGAACAAAAAGGATGTTGCTCACAAACTCAACCATACGGAACTCAACCTGACATATTGAGGAAGGGGGGGACGGAGGGGGGGTGGAACAGGAAATGGGACGAGGAAGGGGGAAGGAAGGGGGGATGGAGGAAAAAAGAGAGGTGTGGGAAGGAAAACCAAGGAAATAGAGCGATAAAAGGGTGTCAGTAGGAAAATCAAACTACACGGGATCAACAAGGTCAGGCAGCCTTTTCAAGGTATGCAAACACAAGCGCAAGCAATGGAACCGCACCCCGATTCATTACGTGAACTGATTACATCCAGGTTTCGCACAACTCTTTCAACCTTGTCCCCCCACACACTAGCACCCATATCTACATCCCACACCCACATCAACATCAGACTGTGTCCTAGACACCAGGGCTTGAAACCCAGACACCACATCGCCTCATCCCATCCCATCCCATACCATCCCATCCCATCCCCCATCCCACAACACCCCCCCCTCCCTCACCCCCCCCTTCCCCTCCCTCCACCCCAGCCCATGCGTGCCTGTCGCTGGCTCTCTCCCCCAATCACTCTGAAGTCGGGCTGAGCCGCCACCATCTGTTCAGCACGCTGCGCTGGTAGACGCTACCTGATGCATCTCAAAAGCCCTTCCCTTGCCTTTCGAATGCTTTCCCTCCTTCCTTCCCTTCCCATCCCTTCCCATCCCTTCCCATCCCATCCCATCCCACCGCTCCCAATCCAGCCCCTGCGTGCCTGTCGCTGGCTCTCCCCCCCGGGCGCCCTGAAGTCGGGCTGAGCGGCCACCATCTGCTCCAGCACACCGCGCTGGTAGATGCGTGCGCGCGGCTGCCGCTCCCACTGCCCCTGGCTGAGCTCCTGCAGCTCGTCCGCATACCGGATCATGCTCTCCGCCACCCCCATCTCCTGCGGTGGCGAAGGGAGTGGGGAGGGAGTGGGAAGGCGAGTGGGGAGGGAGGGAGGGGAGGGGGGAGGGGGGGAAGGGAGGGAGGGAGGGGAGGAAGGGAGGGAGGGGAGGGAGAGGAGGGGAGGGGAGGGGAGGGGAGGGGAGTGGAGGGGAGAGGGGAGGGAGGAAAGGGAGGGGAGCGATGAGAGCGGAGGGAAGGGGAGTAGCTGGCGCTCCCACTGCCCCTGGCTGAGCTCCTGCAGCTCGTCTGCGTACCGGATCATGCTCTCCGCCACCCCCATCTCCTGCAGGGGCCACGGGGAGGGCGGAGGGAGTGAGGATGGAGGGGAGGGGAGGGGAGGGGAGGGGAGGGGAGGGGAGGGGAGGGGAGGGGAGGGGAGGGGAAGGGAGGGGAGGGGAGGGGAGGGGAGGGGAGGGGAGGGGAGGGGAGGGGAGGGGAGGGGAGGGGAGGGGAGGGGAGGGGAGGGGAGGGGAGGGGAGGGGAGGAGAGGGAGGGGAGGGGAGGGGAGGGGAAGGGAGGGGAGGGGAGGAGAGGGAGGGGAGGGGAGGGGAGGGGAGGTAAAGGGAGGGGAGGGGAGGGGAGGAGAGGGAGGGGAGGGATGAGAGGGGAGGGATGAGAGGGGAGGGATGAGAGGGGAGGGATGAGAGGGGAGGGATGAGAGGGGAGGGGAGGGACTCACACGGTCCGGGTGCTGACCTCGCAGGCGAGGATGGCAGTGCGATCGGTTTAAAGCGCTCAATGAGCGAGGAGAAGATGGCGTGGAAGAGAAACCCAACCCAACCCCACGTAATCCCGCAGGTAACTCCCCGGGCGACTCAAAATAAATACCACACACCTGGCAAGCAGCACCGCACACCTGGCAAGCAGCACCACACACCTGGCAAGCAGCACCACACACCTGGCAGGCGAGGATGGCAGTGCGTTCGTCCTATTTTTAAGGCGCACTGCCATTCTCGCCTGGTAAAAAAAAAAACAAAACAAAAAACAAAAAAACACACACACCTCAATCGGTGTGCTGACCTGGCAGGCGAGGATGGCAGTGCGTTTGGAGCGCTCGATGGGCGAGGAGAAGATGGCATGGAAGCGCACGCCCACGTAGTCCCGCAGGTAGCGCCCCAGCAGCACCGCCTGCTGCTCGCCTAAAGGGGTGAGTGCTGCCTGCGGCGACCGCCCCCCTATGAGCGTCGACACGTTGTGCGCCGCCTCCCCGTGACTGTGGGGGGTGGGACAGCGGGAAGGTCAGGGAGGTGCGGAAGTGGGGGGACTGTTTTTGAAGGAACAATAGGTCAGTGCTGCCTGCGGCGACCGGCCCCCTATGAGCGTTGACACGTTGTGAGCTGCCTCCTAGTGACTGGAAAAGACAGGGCGATGGGATGGCATGGGGGGTGGGGGAGGTGGAGGAGGCAGGGGAGAGAGATAAGTGGGGAGGCAATATTTCAGGAGCCTCAGAGATAGGTGAGAGCTGCCTGCGACGATGAGCGCCGACACTTGGTAGGCTGCCTCCCCGTGACTCTGGGGGAAGGTGGGCGGCAGGCAGGCAGGCAGGCAGGCAGGCAGGCAGAGAGACAGCCAGCTAGACAAACAGACAGACAATCAGGCCTGTAAAAAACAACATTTCTGTCTTCTATTTTCTTTATTTTTTAATGCATTCTTTCTTTAGGCGCCCCAGAGATTGGTAGACAAGAAGCCAGAGAGAGAAGCGGGGAGAACGGTACCAGATGATGTAGAAGTCGCTGCAGATGCTGGCGCTGGGCATGGCAGGCAGGCAGAGAGGCAGGGAGGGAGACAGGCAGGCTGGCAGAGAGAGAGAGAGAGAGAGAGAGAGAGAGAGAGAGAGAGAGAGAGAGAGAGAGAGAGAGAGAGAGAGAGAGAGAGAGAGAGAGAGAGAGAGAGGTGCGGAATCTGCAGTTGCAGCGTCTCGGCACTGGTAAGGGCAGTCCGAGGCGGAAGGATGCACCGGCTATATAATGGCCAGTCGGCACCTTCCCTAGCTCATTATTCATTTGGTGATTCCAAATTTTCCGACGCTCGTTTCGAGAGAGCGAGAGAGAAAGGGGGACTTAGCCTCTTCCCTCCTGGCCTCTTCCCCTTCCCCCAGCTATATAATGGCCAGTCGGCACCTTCCCTAGCTCATTATTCATTTGGTGATTCCAAATTTTCCGGCGCTCGCGTGCGCGGCTTACGGCCGCGCATTTTAGGAGGCAAGCTTAGGTAACGGGACAACTTTAGCAGACAGCATGGCGACAAACATCATCAACTAGCAGGCATCATGGAGAAGGTCTACACAAGACAAAGGGGGGCACCTACATGCGGTCCGCCCCCAGAAACGAGAGCATTCCGCGCGTGGTCTGTTACAAGTGGCGGACCACTGACACGCAGGCGGTTAGAGCATCTCCGGGTGTGCCTTGAGCCGGCCCTGCAATGTGCCTCAGATCCAGGGCCGCGCGAGCCAGCAGGTTGGCCGCGTCTGCACCCGGGGAGGGCGCTGCCTGCAGTGGCGCCAAGAGGGATAGGATCTCATCCGCCGCCCCCAAGCACGCTGCTTGCGGTTTCTCAGCAAATGTGCTCGGGCGGGATATCGGCATCGACGCACGAGTCGACCGGAGAACACGCGCCAGTGCCTCTAGGCACTCCGACAGTATCCACAGCTGACGCAGGGTCGCCGTGGAACATGAATACTCCGCCTCCTCAAGGCGAGGACGAGGGTCACGATACGGACCCCTTGCTGGGCCTCTGCCAGCGCCAACAAAACCCGGGAGAACAGGCGGCTGCTGGACAAAGCGCGGCGGGGACACTGCACGGTTGGCTACCTCGACAATGGCGGGAAGAGAACGAGGAGCGTCTGGCGGAACTGAGCGACAGGCTGTCGCCGACTGCGACTCACGGAGAGCAGTTGCGAGCACGTCTGGAAGCCTCTCCAGGGCGCGCGCAAAGTCCGACGCAGACTGGCGACCCATGCCCCCGCGTCCGCGGCCCCCGCGACTGCCACGCCGACCACGACTGTTCGACCACGAGCGAGCTGGAGATTGGGGCCTGGACGTGCTGCGCGGGCGGAGCGCAGGGGAACCCACGACGCGATGGAGAATGGCGCCGCCGGCGCTTCACTGGCGATTCGCGCGGAGAACGGCGAGCAGGAGAGCGACGCCCTGAGGATCGGCGCGCGGGTGAATGACAGCGAGGCGAATGGAGAGATGGGGAACGGTGACTTGGCGAACGACGCCTAGGGGAACGGCTGCAGCTCCCCTGCAACAAGGGGAGCGACGCTCGCGGCGATCTTCACGCCGCCCCTCGCAACGTTCGTCACGAGGCTCAGGCGTCCGACGGCGCGGAGAACGCCCCCGGTGCGGCTCCGCCAAGGCACCAGAACGCACAGCGGACTCTGCGCGGGTTGCCACTCTCGGAGACAAATCAGCAACGCGCGGCCCGGGAGGACGGCGCTGGTCCTCAAATCGGCGCCGGATTTGGTCCGCAGCAGCAGGAGGACGAGCAGGAACGCTCACCGCCGGGCGTGGCAGAAGCACAGGTGCACTCTCCGCGGTCGCTCGCGGTCGTGGGCGGACGGAAGCGCCATCTGCGCAAGCACAAGGCGCAATCCCAACACAAGGGGAGCCTACAACCCCGACTCTCCCCACGCAACAGGCGGCGCTAGCAGCAGGGACCCCGCAGAGCGGACGAGGAAGCGCGCGGGGGAGAGGATCGCAACGAGGAGCGCGCGGAGGAAAGAGGAGCGCAGTTCAAGCGGCGAGGGGGCGCGGGCACCAACCACCGGACCCAATCTGGCTAGGGGAGCCGGCGGATCGAGTCACGCGGCAGTCGTTCGCTAGGCGCGGGGCGAGAGGTGGTGCACCAGCGCAAGCAGGGAGGAACGTTGATATCCTCAGAGAGGCGAGCGACGAGGACTATATACGTCAGATTTGAGGCAACCAGACAATCCCGACTCACCTCGCGCGGAATCAGGAGAGGAGGTGGCGCAGCAACAGGAGAGAGGAACCAATCGCAGACAGCAGCGCAGAGCCCAACCCCCACTGGACCAAGCTCTATCTGCGTCCCAGCTGGCCTCGCGGGAGGATCTTTTCCAGATCGCGATGACCTGGGACCTTACGCTCCTAACATCCATCACCCACCAACCAATCGTCCGCCGACTGCCGCCGCAGATCCTCGGCGACTACTCCACCTGTATGCTGGCTGCCTTACTACGGATCTCAAAGCTGCCTAATTGCGCGGGAGCGTGGCGGGTCCTCATGTTCCTGCCACGTCTCACGCTAAGACTTAGCCGGAGATCCAGCTCTAGGTGGAAACTACTGCGAGCACACATGCATCTATTCCGATGTGGCCACTGGACCCAGCTGTACACCGAATACTTGGGGTCAATGCACCTGGCCGAACCACCTCAGCACCAACGTGACCCGCTGGGAATCTGCTCACGTGCGGAGGGGTTGGTGAAAAGGGGTGATCTGCGAAAGGCGTTAGCGGCCCTTCAACCCTCGCCATCAGCACCAGCGACACTCGCGACACTGCAGCAGCTGGAATCGAAACACCCCCAACCCCAAAATGACCTGCCCGACTGGGTCCACTCCTACACGACACCCAAACAATTTTCAACCAACCTGGAAAGCTTTTCGGACGTCCTCGGGGAATGCCCCAGGGGAATTGGGGTTGGCCCATCGGGGTCAACCTTCGAACACTACCGCAATCCAGCGCTGAGTAACATCGAGGTACTAGGGCACCTCCACTCCGCCGTTAAACTCCTTCTCTCGACAAACCTTTCCACCGAGGTTGCAGCCCTATTCGCCCCGTCCCGCCTTATAGCCTTCGCCAAACCAGGGGGTGGGGTACGCCCAATCGCGATTGGAGAAACATTGCTTAGGCTGGCGGCGAAAGTGGCACTCTCAGACCTGCAAGGAGAATCGCGAAATTTTTTCCTACCTCAGCAATTTGGCGTCGCAGTCCCGGGAGGTGCTGAGTTCGTCATCCATGCAGTCAGAGACCTCACCACCGTGCAGTCCTCCAGCCTAGTCCTCCAACTCGACATTGAGAACGCGTTCAACTCAGTCGAGAGGAGCGCGTTCTTCAACGCACTTATCGGCTCCCCGCTAGCCCCCCTCATCCCCTTCACACGCTCTTTCTACGCATCACCATCACCGCTGCTGCTAGATCCATGCTTTAATTCCACAGCACTCACCAGCGGAAGAGGAGTCAGACAGGGGGATCCCCTCGGACCCCTGCTATTTGCGGCGTCTATCCAGCAGCACCTCAGCGCGTGGCAGCGGAGCACCCGAAAGTCACCGTCCTCGCGTACGTAGACGACATAACCATGATTGGACCCGCGACGGCGACGCTAGACGCGCTGAGGGAGATCACGCCGCTACTAGCACAGGATGGCCTCACCTGCAACTTTATGAAGTCGTCGGCATGGTCCTCCATGCCGCTTGGAGGTGTCGTGCTCCCTGAAGGCCTCCCCCACACCCACAAGGGGGTACGGGTGTTGGGAAGTCCTGTGGGGTCACAGAGCTTCTGCTCTGCCTTTGTCCGCAATACCCTGACAGACGCGACAGCCCCCTTGGGTTCTCTGGCGTCCATCCACCCACAACACGCCCTCCTGCTACTGTCCCGTTGCATCAGCCGCAGAATCGGCTACCTGCTACGCACTACCCCAGCAGACGTCTTACCCTTCTCGGAATGGCACACATGGTGCTCCGAACTACTGCACACAGCCTTGACCGCCGCCAGCATTCAACCGCCGCCAGCATTTAACCGCCACGCCGAGAAGCCGAGTTCAACTTCCTGCTCCGACAAGCAACTCTTCCAGGCGCCCTGGGCGGGCTGGGACTTACAGACCCCACAACAGAAGCAGCACCGGCCTACCTGGCATCAACGACGGAGGCGCTACGACTGCTCCGCTCCCTTGACCTACCAGCAACCACGGCACTGGGGGCCAACAACAACACCCTGCAGCCGTCCGCAGCGCACTCGGTAACCATCCAGGACATGGAAGGGCGCCTGCCGTCGCTGGCGCTTCAAAACCTCCGGGAGGAGCAGCAAACCCCGTCCCAAGACCAGCTGCAACGCGCCCTCTCTCAGGAGGTGCACGCGGCAAAGGCCGACGCCTTGACAGAGGAGTCACGCACCATCCAGTCAGCCCCCGAGATGGGTCACTCACTCCGCCTCATCAGCCTGAGAGGGGAGGGAGCGGGAGCATGGCTGCAGGCCCTACCTTTGACCCCGGACCTCTGCTTCTCACCGGGACAATTCCGAGCAGCCCTGGCCTTCCGCATGGGCATCCGCCAGAATGTACCCACTGTGTGCGAGTGTGGAGAACTCGTAGCCGACTGCAGCCTACCCAACCACCTACTCCGCTGCAGCACAGGCCCCGACAGGACACGCACACACAACCAGCTAGCTTTTGCCGTGGCTAAAATGGCAAGGGAAGCAGAGCTGGTGGTATACCTGGAGAACGCCATGTACTCACCGCCGGATGACCCGAAGAGAGCCGATGTGATTGTACGCGACCCGGACAGTGGAGAGACTTGGATCACAGACACAACTATCACCGACCCCGTGCTGCAGAACCGGGACCCCACAGCCCGCAAACCCCCAGGCTGGGCTGCTAGAGAGGCACAGAGGCGGAAGGAGAGGGAGTACTACCGACACACGGAACACGTGGTGTTCTACGCCCTAGCCGTCGAGACCTACGGGGCAAACGCGCCCACCACGACTGCGTTCCTGAAGCTGCTGGCCACAGCAGCGGCTAGGAACCGGTTCAGGGCCAACCCCCTGGCGAAATCGGCCAAGAAGATGGCCTGCCACTTCAGCCAGCGCTGGTCAGTGGCCCTCCAGCGCTCCCAGGCGAATGCCCTGCACACCAAGGCCAGGGCTGGGATCGAGGCAGCGCACCCCCAGATGGCAGCGGACCCTTGGCCGCTGCACCTGGGGGACATCCTCCACACGCTGGAGGGCTAGAGGGTCACTCAGGGGGGGGGTGAAGAGTGGTGAGTTTTGGGGCTTAAGGGATGGAGGTTATCATGGATAGCACCGCATGTTTGTACCCCTGCTGAATTAATACAAAGGACCGTTTGAGAGAGAGAGAGAGAGAGAGAGAGAGAGAGAGAGAGAGAGAGAGAGAGAGAGAGAGAGAGAGAGAGAGAGAGAGAGACAGCTAGACAGACGGAGAGACATGCGCGAGGGGGGGGGGCTCAAGAGGTACCGGATGATGTAGAACTCAGTGCAGATGCCGGCGCAGGGCATGGCAGGGAGGCAGGCAGGCAGCGAGACGGGCAGCTAGACAGACAGATACCAGATAGACAAGCAGAGAGACATGCGGGGCGCGCAGCACAGTACCGGATGATGTAGAACTCGGTGCAGATGTCGGCGCGGGGCATGGCAGGGCCGTGCATGAAGGGGTGCGACGAGAGCGGGCGCGACGCGTCCATGAACGACGACGCGCCCTTGCCCTCCGCGAACTCGTCCCACGCCCGCGCCATTCCGCCACTCCCCCCCTCCGCGGACTTGACAGCGGCAGCGGTAGGAGAAGGAGAAGAAGAAGCAGTAGCAGCAGCAGCGACTGGAACAAGTGGAGCGGGAGGAGTAGTAGTCGAAGCAGCAGCAGCAGCGGCAGCAGCGGCAGCGGCAGCAGGATCAGCAGAGCCAGCGGCAGCAGGATCAGCAGAGCCAGCGGCAGCAGGATCAGCAGAGCCAGCGGCAGCAGGATCAGCAGAGCCAGCGGCAGCAGCCACAGCAGCAGCTGTTGCGGATAGAAGAGAAGGATGCGCTGCTGTTGCTGTGGCAGCAGCTACGGTTGCTTCACTGCCAGTCGCACCCGCGTTGTTCTCCTCCTCTCTTTCGCCGTCCTTCGCCGTCTGCGCGGTCTTCCCCTCCTCCGCCTTCCCCTCCGCCTTCCGCTCCGCCTTCCCCTCCGCCTTCTCCTTCTCCTCGTCCGTCTCGTCATCCCACGCCAGAT